TCCAAAAGTGTGTAATCTTCATACCATGAATACATTGCGCCAATACAAATATCGGCTTTATGTTTGATCACCATGCCTAAAGATCCGCTTCCAGACATATTTGGATATACTGTTCCCCAGTCATCTGCATCAGCTGTGAATATGCGTCAGGTTAAATGTAATGTTGTACTATTTGTTATTAATAACTCGCTTTTATTAATACCATAATATAGATACAAAAAAAAATAAATTTAAATAAATATTGACTATCAAAAGGCTGAAACTTTTTCCTTTATTATTATTCGAAACCTTGACTAGTATTATTCGAAAATAGTGTGATTCAGAAGTTATCAGGAAGAGCAAGAAAAACACTGGTGATTTGGTTTTTTAAATTTTAAATTTTAAACCACTGACAAATATTTGCCGTGCCCCAGTATTCCGAGTAATTGGACATAGAAAGAAGAGAGGATTGCTATACTCATCTCTTCCACCCACAATTGAACTAACCTTTAAAGTTTAAATTTTAGCTGTATGTATTGTCAGCGACAGATTTTTGTTCCTTACTTTTGCGGGTGGGCAAAAAAAAAACAACTGCAGTCACCCTACAGTCCACCTACAGTCAATAAGTCAATCAAAAAGTCAATAGCTCCTCTAAAAATTATCCGATTTGGCTGCTTTTTAATTTGTAGGTGCAGATTAACCATTGAAAAGTTTGGCATCAAAACATTTTTCAAAAACATTAACGAACTGGCGCCTACATCAGATTTTTGTTTTGGGGAGTCGAAAATTTTAACTGAAACTTGATCTTCACGGATACCATACAAGTTCAAAATTGTATTTCTTTTGTATTAGAAATTATATATAGTATATGGGTATATCTCCTTTAAAAATCGTCCTTTTCGAATGAAATTTTATAGAAATAGTTTGGCATTTTATGTTTTTTTTACTAAATGTATATTTTTTTTATAACCTAAAGAATTTCATACGCAGCGCACGCTGCAATTCGCTTAGTTCAGCAGCTCTCACCAATACATTGTCACTTGTGCTTTGCGCGCTTCTTGCTTATTACTGCATTAAAATCATATCAATGTATTAAGTGCCGATCATTGTTTGGTCACGGAATTTGTCGCATTTATTTAATATAATAAAAATGAATACTTACAAGTGTTAATTTGAACCGTACAGTTAAATTTTTCACAAAAACTTAGAACAACGCGAGTTTCTGTACCATCAATGTAAACTTTATGCAAGTCTGACTTGGCCGGAACTCCTATATCATGGGCATTAGAATGTTTGTTCTGTAGATTAAAAGTTAATATAAATTATAATCAATAAAATTTAGAATTGCGATAATTATTTCAGCAATTGTGCCAGTGTTAGTGAAAACGATTAATTTGCGATAATGATTTCAGCAATTGCGCCAGTGCAGTGAGAACGACTAAATTCTTCATAATACTCTGTTTTTAATTTTGAAATTTTACATATGTCAAACAAGGACGGCTATAATTGAGTCTCCCGACTATGTGATACCCCCAACTTATCTCTACCGATCACACTTGTATGTTGCCGACAAAAATGGGTTTCTGAGAATCCATACCGTTAAAGTTTCTACTAAACTTTAAAGGTTAGTTAAATTGTGGGTGGAAGAGATTAGTACCGGGTATTATATAGTGGGGAAACTCGACTATAGCCATCTTTTCTTGTTAAGAAATGTACCATGAGTTTTTTAAACTTGATGAAAGAAAAAACTTACATGTTTTATAATTGTATAAGGTGGGTAGTCAAAACCGGCAACAATCATTTCACGACCTTCCAAATTGGATAGTTTGTTTGGGAAAAGCGACTTTTCATTTTGAAAACGTTGAAGAGCGGGGAAAAAACGATTCAATTTGTAAAGCGTTCCTGGGTTTTGCGCTTTTGGCCCTGTATATTTATTGGTCCTTATCTCGAAAACCTCAGTGCTAGGATGTGTAATAAATAGGATGTTTGGTTGATCTGAACATGTTAAAATTTAGTATTATATACTACGTTTAACAATATTTGTCTCAAAATTAACCTTGAAAAAATGAATTTTTATACCACTCCTTCTGAAAATCATTGATATGTAGGACAAAAATAAATTTGATGTGTAATGATCTCCATATCGAGTAAACCGAAGCCTTTTGAAATGAGTTCACGAATTGTATTGTTTCGTTGCCAAAAACAATAAAAGCCTAAATAGAAACAACAAAATTTGAAAATACCTGGTACAATACTGTCTCGCAAAAATTTACCTCGCAGTGAGTCTTTTCAATTGCTAACGTAATTATGAGGCATAAGTCATCGCAAGTCAAATTATTTTTTATAAGCCATCTGTTCTTCTCTGCTAACCCAGCGTTATCTCGTTTTAAACTAGTCTTTAATAAATTTATATTGACGCTCACGAAACTAGTATAATCTTCTGTATATTGCGGCCGAAAATCAAAATGTTCATTCCAAAAGATGCACAAGGTACTGTTGTTAAGGTACGTGTTTACTAAAAAACAAAAAAAAATCAATCCATTTTGGTTAAAACCATATAAATTTATTACTTATCGTATTTAGGACAACCGACAAACTTAAATTCATTTTGGACTTTTCGGTATAGTCTTTACGATGTTCATTTAAAAACGGTCATATCCAATGGCCCTACGAACAAGTTTTTGACAAACAACTACTCTAAATTCTTATTGGTAAACCAAATAAGCACTTAGGAATTCGACATGCAAGCAATAATTACATCTAATACTGAATTAAAAGCAATTTAACCTAATAGGTGGCTATTAAATTACATTTCTGAAGATAATTTAACTGATTCCATTTATATTTTTCGAGACGGTATCAAAAGCTTTGTTACCTTACAGTTAATTTTTTTTGATAAATAAATCACAAATATTTACTGATTTTTTTATGCAATAATAATTGTTGAACCATTTTTGTGTTCAACTTTGTTTAATAAATAATCAAATATTATTTTTCATAAATAAATTATTTTTTCTAAATAAACCAGTTTAGGATTAAAAAAAAAAAAACAATAACAATGTAGAAATTTTCTACTAGAAAATTACTAGATATCTTATTGATATTTTTAAGTTACAGAGTTTTGGTTTTTGGTTAGCTGCAATTAATGATAAGAATTTTGAAGAGGTGCCAAAGCTTACGACAGCTTTAAAAAATGCATCTGTATTGTACCAAAGAAAACAGTAATCACTATTTTTTTACCTATTCCTAGAAAATCACTATTAAAAAAAATATGAAATTTTATATTATTCTTTTATAACTTCAAATCAAAGAGATTAGTTCGCGTAGACACAGACTGATTAAAATTTTTTTTTTCTTATTTTAGACCATCACATTACAAATAAATTTTCAAAAAAAAATTTGAATGCCTAGCAAATTTCTTTACAAAACATTTTCTAAGCAAATTTTAAAAATTATATTTTTTCTGGAAAGTTATCCCAAACAATTTGACCATAATATTAAAAGTAATTGCAACAGAAATGATTTTCGACTTTCTGCCACAAATGTAATTAGTGATAACAAACATTTGGTACGCGATAGTTTCTCTTGTCTCCTTTTGTTACCTGGTTCATTTAATGAAAATTTGAGTTTTCTCAGCCCATTGTTTTTTTGAGTTTCACTTTCTTTTGAACTTTCGACCTACTACTGTAAACTTTGGTAAAAAACTTTGGAAATGTATACGATTAAAAAATATGTATTTAAACAACATTAATCTTTAATGGCCGCTCGCAAGCTTTAACTTATTTATTATATACATAAATGCGTATGTAGAAACATTTGTCAATCTTAGAATGAATTTATTTTTATGTAGTGTCCATTTTTTGGACAACAAGAAGAGACAATAAAACAGAACCAATTAGGCACAGAATAAGAGCAACACAGATAACATCTAAAAGGAGAAAGCGGAAACCAAAGAGATTACGGTCAAAAAACGGTTAACTGAGGCATCGAACTCGCTTAAAACACACACATACATCAATAAAGCAAACCTGTTGAATAAAAGTAGTGGAACTGTTAAGACTGATCTTTCTTCTTCCAGACATCTCTTCAAATCGGAAACGAAAACGAGTATTTATTTAATTTTTATGAGTTAATAGTTAAGAAAACCTGTTAAGACGTTCTAAAAACGTTTTTGGAATCCGGTGAAACATCTTCGCTACAAGCCGGTACCATAAGCTACCAACTCTGCATTTGGCAACCTGCAACATGTTGCAGCAACACAAGCACAACCTCTCGCTCCTCTACCGAACTTACTTCCAACTCCCTAGTTGATATGGGGTGTGTGGTGGAGGAATTGAACCTGCCTACCGGTGGCAAGTAGCTAAAAAAATTTAAAAAAACTGGTTTTAACTACTTCTCACCTCCTTCTCTTTCTGGGTCTTTCTTCTTTTTTCTCTCTCTGCCTATGCATTAAGATGCGCAACGTCTCAGTATGTTTGAAACTAACGAAGCCAGCAGAAGCACTTTTAAATTAGAAAGCTACTAGACTTTTTCAGTCTGTTTTATCTTTAAAATCGAGGAAAAACCATAAATCTAAACGGTCAATGTTAAATGCATAACAGTAAAAGAATGAAACAAAATATTTTTATTAAAAAAAACAAAGTCCAAGTGAAAACGTGTTAAACAAAAACTCTTTTATTAAGTGTATCTATTTAGAGGAGGTAGAACCTCAAAACTTTTACCTCTATCACGTGTTAAAAATAAAAAAATATGGGGACCAAAACTAAAACCAAAAACTAAATCTTGTAACTAACTAAACTTTTACCTCTATCACGTGTTAAAAATAAAAAAATATGGGGACCAAAACTAAAACCAAAAACTAAATCTTAAATTCGTCGATCATGCCTCATAGCAAACTAACAGCCAATTTAGTTAATTCACAAGAACCTTTAATAAGTGGGATATCCAGAAATAAACACATAAATGATTCTCAACTTTCCATCAATAATGTTTCTAATATACCCCAAATGGAACTTTTAAAGGTTAATTACGTCCACCAGTGTAAAGAAGCTATTATGCATAAGTCAAGAAACTGCCTATTGGCGCCCCGTCGTCTTGATGAATATCGCCGACCACCATATGAATTAAAAAGCTTGAAGGAAATCAACCTAACAAGACGCCCGGTGGTATCCAGGTTGTTAAAAGAAAAATACGAGAATCCACCAACTGTTCAATCTTGGGAGTTACTTTTGCAGACGGTTAAAAAAAACAGCTCAATACAAAAAATTTCGCCTCATGAACATACTTTTACTAGCAACTGTTCCTGTAATGTGGCTGACTATGGTGCAGATTCTAGCGAAGCCAGATCATCATTTACTGACTTTAAGAAATCACGAAATGGAGAACGCCAACAAAGTATTTTTTGTACAAATACAGGCATTAAATCTCGTGCAGACCGAATTGCGCGCATTGAGAGCTTTTCATGTTTAAAGACCCAGTTACAGTCACGAATTCCAATACCTATATCTCATTGTAAATCTCATCAAGTAATACATAACAGGGAGCACACACCAAAATGGATGTTTCAAAATTCAAAAAGTGTCGGTGACGCCCAATACAATAGTTCATATGCCCCTCATTGGCAGTTGCCACGCTATCAACAGAAACCTAAACTGGATCGTATTCGTATTAGAAAAAAAAGGAAGTCTCTACTGATTATAAATAGTTTGGTAGACGAAGAAGAGTGGCCAAACAAACAATATCAGAATCTAAAGTATGGTTCTCATACTAGGTGTAAAAACCTGTCAGATTTTGTATACGAATGTGAGACTGATAAGAATGCAGATTTAAAAGATAGTTCAGCTTCTCGATTTTTTTCTCCTAAGAACTGCACAATAAATGAACAAAAAAATACGAAGCAAGATAATTTAATAAATATTCATTTTATGAGAGATAAAGATAAATTCGAAAGTTTAAATATTTCTTCTCAAATGAAGTCACATGCAGATCCCAACGACTTGCAAAACTTTTATAAAGAGGATTTAAGAAAAGTAACAACGAATGAATTAATTAAAGCTGTTACTCAAAAAACAAAAGAATGTAACATCGATATAGAGAAAAAACTAAATGATATAAAAGTGAGAGAAGAGGAAACGTATTCTTCCAGCAGTTGGATTAATGAGTCTTTATTAGATGACAATGACCAGCTTCTTAAGAATATTGATACATTCACATCAATTTCAAAACACACTTATGAAGATTCCAATGATTTAAATTGCGTTAACTATTCCAAACCAACTTCCCCTGACCAATTATCAGAGGCTTCTCTGTGTACATCATCTTCTAATATATCTAATTACGACAATATTTCAATTTGCGGCTCTGAAAGCAGTTGCTGGCAATGTACAAAAAAATATTATGCTCAATTCGGCGATTTAAGTTCAAAAAATCCTATCAACGAAAATTGCAATGCCGTCGAAGGCGTTTTTTGGAATAACTCCTATAATGAATTTCCTACAGAAATTTCTTCAACCACTTGTTGCAGTATGTCAAGCTGTGACGATGATAATTATTCATGCTGCAATATAACCATGGGGGACACCATAAAATCCATACCTATACAGCAATCCAAAGCTGCAAAATCAGGAGAGATACACCAAAATGAAACAAGGAAGTACATTAATTCGAAAAAGTCAAAGGTAGGAACTGCATACTCAATTCTCAATTTACACATTTATACTAACCATCTGCTTGACACTACACAAAACGAATGAGGGAATTTAGATGGGAAATAGTTTTGTTTAGAATAAGTAAGTGCACAAACGTCTGTCTCAATCGCACAAGATTGAACAACGAAACTAGAAGTTAATGAATTTAGAAGAAAATGAATAAAGGCATTTAAAACAAGAGCTAAATTCCAAAAAAAAATCGATCATGTTGGAATATTTTGGGAATAGGGGATCAAAAAAAATTTAAATATGTTTAAAAACTGTTCTGCTCAAACAAAACATATCTTTCTTCCGAAAAATCTCTTTATGTCCTTGTAAGGGGTATTATAATTTTGGTTAAAAGTGTGAAACACAATGAAGGAGACATTTCCGACACTTTAAAGTATACATGATATATACTTGAGTATATATAAGTATACTTGATAAGGATCACCTCTTGAGTTGACATAAGCATGTCCGTCTGTTTGTGTGTTTCTACGCGAACTTGTCTCTCAGTTTTAAAGCAATCGACTTGAAACTATAAATTAAATTAGGACAAATAGGTCCTAAAAAACAGGGTTTTTTTAAATAAATTAAGTTTTTAAAGGTGTTAAAATATTTCAAACATTGTTCCACCAGATTTAACCAGATAATCAATTCCTACTGTCACTTTACAAGTTTATATATGTACCCTTGCAGAGGGTATTATAATTTTGTCCAAAAGTGTGCAACGCAGTGAAGGAGACATCTCCGACCCTATAAAGTATATATATTCTTGATCAGGATCACCTCCTGAGTTGATATGAGCATGTCCGTCTGTCCGTCTGTCTGTCTGTTTATACGCGAACTAGTCTCTCAGTTTTAAAGCTATCGACTTGAAACTTTGCACCCTGTTTTCCTTTGCACGCAGTATATAAGTCGGAACGACCGGGATCGGTCGACTATATCCTATAGTTGACATATAACTGATTGATCGGAAATGGTATAACTTTGGTGTTTTTAGAGTTAGAGAGTTTAGAGTCAAATTTGACATGAGAGCTATTTTTGGCAAAATATTACGACATGATCAATTTCATAAGGATCGGCCGACTATATCCTATAGCTGCTATAGAACGATCGGAAATGACCCAACTTTCGTGTTTTTGACGATAAATAGCTAGAACTTAGTACAGATTATATTTTTGGTCAGTTTCAGTTATAGCTGCCATATTATGCCTTATAGCTGCCATAACTGAACGATCGGAAATGGTATTTGGTAGAAATACCAACTTTGGTATTTTTGAAGATAGACGCTTCGAACTTTTTTTAAATATTTTATTGTAATTAATTGGTTATATTATGATATTATCATAGGGATCGGCAAACAATATCCGGTGATTGCGATATATATCCGGTTTTAACTGCAAGGGTATATCAACTTCGGCTCCGCCCGAAGTTAGCTTTCCTTTCTTGTTTCTAGGTAAATTTTTCTTTAATCTGTACAAACCTCTTCATAGACTTTTTAACATATCTTTGGAAACCTAGATTTTTCCTATTAAGTGAAGGGAATCTTTCATAATTCTCCTACATAAAAAAGGGAAAAAGTCTGATGCTGCCAACTACAGAGGCATCTCTAAGTTGTCAATTTCAAAGTTATTTGAAAAATTTATTACTCCTTATTTGCAACGCGAACCTTTGCTCTTCGATTATCTCTCCCTGTCAGCATGGCTTTGTTAGGCGTCGCTCCACCACCACAAATTTACTGGAGTTGACATCCTTTGCCATAGATGGCTTGTGTAAGGGATATCAAACCGATGTAATTTACACCGACTTTAACAAAGCTTTTGATGCGGTCTCACTCTTGTTGAGTAAACTGAATATGCTGGGATTTCCTACAGACGTGGATCTCCAGCTACTTAGATGGAAAAACACAAAGAGTCTGAAGGAAGTCATCTTTGCCCTTTAACATTTTCTCTTTTCATGAATGACCTGCTTTAACAAACTCTGTAGTTCTGATGTATGCTGATGATGTTCATTTTTTTCTTCAGTACAAATCCATATATGCCCAATACAATCTTCAAGACGATCTCGCACATTTTCAAAAATGGTGTTTAGCAAATGATTATAGCTCCAAAAGCAAGCCAGGTGTACCGGTATGAAATGAGCATTTTTTTTTTGAACAAAAACACAAAATATTAATCGGAAAGTAAAAAACATTTTATTCAAAGTATTGGCCATTGTTTTCTATACATTTTGACCACCTTTCTGGCATTTTGTGGATACCACGCCAATAAAATTGTTCATCTTTTAAAGCAAACCAACCAGACACCACATTTTCGACCTCCTCGTCCTGCTCAGGACTGCTGCTCAGCCAATGCGTGTCCCATCGTTGAAAAAAAATGGTAGTTGGAAGGAGCCAAGTCTGGTGAAAACGGCGGGTGGGGTACCAGCTTCCAGCCAAGTGTTTTGATTGAATCCTGAACCAGTTTTGCTTTGTGGGCAGGTGGATTGTCATGGAGCGAAACTAACTTGCCGTGTCTTCTGGCCAATTCTGGTCATTTCTTGATCAATGCGTGGTTCAAATTGATCACTTGTTGTCAGTAGCGATCTTTATTAACGGTTTCATCAGCATTAAGGAGCTCGTAGTACACCACACCTTTCTGGTCCCAGCAAACACACAACATTGTCTTCTTGCCGAATCGATCTGGTTTTGCAGTCGATGTTGATGGCTGCCCGGATTAACCCATGATTTTTTCCGTTTAGGTTTCTTAAAATAAATCCAATTTTCATCGACAGTAACAATCCGATGCAAAATCGATTTTCTTTAGTGTCTTTGAGATAAAAACTTAATGCTTTCCGCAAATCATCACTTTCTGGTACAAAACTCGACATTTTTAACATGATGAAAAAATATAATGTTGTCTGTTCAATGACTTGACTTGTATACTAAATATGTTTCAGAGATGTCATAGCAAACAAACAAAAAAAAAGTAAAGGCTCGTTCACAACAAACGTTTCCAATCGAGACCTCTGTATCTTGACGATCACATCATACCGGTACACCTGGTATGTCTTTTTATCGTTCTTGCCCTCTCGAGGCTACGTATTCTCTCTAAGGGATTGCCTTAGAGAATCTCGGCTTCCTATTAGACTCTAAACTTAAATTTGCTAACCATATTTCCACAATGGCTAAAAAGGCTAAAGGACTCCTTGATTTCATTAAAAGGTGATCAGAAGAATTTAACGACCCCTAAATTACTAAAAGCTAATTTATTTCTTCGGTCCGTCCGATACTGGAGTACGGTTCATGTGTCTGGAGTCCCTAATATGGAGTACACAAGGATCACATAGAATCCGTAAAAAAAATTTCTTTACATTTTCACTTAGAGGTCTCAACTGGGATGCAAATCTTCATCTTTCATCTTATAGTAGTAGACTCCTATCAATAAACTTACCAAGCTTAACTAATCGTAGGACAATGCTGGGTGTAGCTTTTCTACATAACCCTATCAATGTGCATTTACTAACACGCTTGAATTTTAACATTCCCAACAGAAGGATTAGAAATTTTAGTCCTCTATACTTTAGCCATTGTAGTTCGACATATGCACAGTACGACTCTTTTAGGGTCTTATGTTCGAACTACAATAGTCTCTAGTCTATTTCCTGTCCTTCAAATTTAAAATCTAGTATTTTAAATTTCCTTACTAACTCCCCTTAGTTTAATATCAAGCAAATAGCTTAATAAATACTAATAAATCGTTTCTCGAGCGCCCCTTGGTCGTCGGTGCCTCTAAGCTTTATGATGATTACAGGAATGAATACAGGAATAATTTCTCTTTTTTTTTTTTTTGTTGTTTTTTGCGATCAAACAAAAGCTTTTCTTTTCGTTATTTCCCCTCACTGGAACATCTAAAACCGAAAATTCCAACGGGATTAGAAAGAGTAAAATAAACAAAATGACGGACTTTTGTAATTTTTTTTAAACTGCCTTTTTTTTCAGCCACAAATCAAGTTGAAAAGTAAAGAAGATCTTCAACGATTTGATTTATCCTAGTTCACACAAGAGCTATATATGTGTAGAATAACGTATTAAAATTTGGAACCGATGGGATTAATTTGAGTTTTTGAGTAACCTGCGCCAATCGTAAAAACACTGTTTCGAGAAAAACGCGTTTAAAGTTTTTGACACGCCTCTCGCCGTCGCCTGACGCTTCACCATAAATCGGCTATAAATTAAAAAAATCGGAATAAAATTTTAAAAAAAAAATCGATTTTTTGAAACCGAGAATGGGGGGGAGTCCCCTTTAAGCACCCCAATCAATTGGGTCGGCACCCCAATAAATTGATATGATTTTGACGTATTAGTATTAGTAACATGAAGTTTCACACGTTTATACTGTATGTGTGTGGCATAGCTCGGGCAGAGAAATTTCCTATGCCCTCGGGATAGGGCCGTGCCGACCGCTGCCATAAAGCGTTGGGGCCTTTAAAAAATAATATTGACATATTTTTTTTTTATTTCAGGTTAATGAAAACTCAAAAACTACACCTAGATCTACCGAGGGTGAAGACATTGTTGCAATTTTACCTAACTTAAACCATGCAGAAATGCAAATAAAAAATAAACAGGTAAAATAAATACCAAACAAAGAAATTTTTAACTTAAACGCAGCGGATGATGAGTTTTTTAAACTGAAATTAAATTTTAAAGGTCACCATTATGTCAATGTCACCACAATTAATGTCAATACATTATATGTGTTTATTTTATTTTGTATTTCTATTAAAATTTCTGTCCGTATTGCTTGGATATTAGATTAATTTCATTTGACTCATTTGATTCCTATGACTTGACCTGCGCAAGTTATTTCAAAATTTTTCAACGCCCCTCCCTCTATTAAATATTGAACATTTCAGTAGCGCTAGTAAAGAAAGGTATTTTGACTTTTCGATGTTTTATTCTGCATTTCCACTGGATTTCTTCAGCTGTTATTTCTAAAGCACAAAAACATGCACATGGGTCTGGTTGTGAACTATTGCTTATTTATTCGGTTTTGTCTCATATTGTCATCTTTATATTTTCTATATTCATTAGACCTAAGATCCAAACAATGTGTACACACTAGGAATAAGCACCACCTGTGACAGCATTACCAATTTTCTTAAGTACTAATTTGTCATCGAAACAATCAAGAACAATAAGAAAAATAAAATATACAGACAACTGCAAAAAGGCTCTACGCATTTAGGATCAGGGTCGATGAGATGAGTGCCGCGTATCAATTGAGAACATCGTCTATAGGAATCTTCTCTTGTTTATTAACTATGTAAATATGTAACTAATTCTGTTGATTTTGTCTGGAAACTTCAATGTCCCTACTAGTTTAAATTTAGTAAATCCAAACCCGTTTACTTTTACCCAAATTTATCCGAAACTTTTGGAAACATTTTTAGAACAAAAATGATATAATTAAATCAATACCTTTTGATTGGTATATCACTCATTCAAACCAAAAGCAAATAGAAAATTTTCAATTCTTTCACTTTGAAGTGATAGGAGCGTCGAGATCTCAACGACTATAAGAGATAAAGCTAAAGAATTAGCTCAATGCTACTGCATTGGTTTTATACCCTTGCAGAGGGTATTATCTGGGACATCTGGGACACTATATAGTATATGCTTTATATTCTTGATCAGGATCACCTCTTGATTTGATATGAGCATGTCCATCTGTCTGTTTCTACGCGAACTAGTCTCTTAGTTTTAAAGCTATCGACTTGAAACTTTGCACACACCCTTCTTTCCTTTGCATGCAGTATAGCCCATATCCTATAGCTGCCTATAACTGATTGATCGGAAATGGTAAACTTTTGGTGTTTTTAGAGTTAGAGAGTTCAAATTTTACACGAAATTTGTTTGGCAAAATAATACGACTTGAAAAATTTCATAAAGATCGGCCGACAATATCCTATAGCTGCCATATAACTGATTAATCGGAAACGCTATAAATTTGGTTTTTTTAACACCGGCAAAGTTCGGAAAAGATCGGAAAAGTTGCAGAGTTCAGATTTCGTAGGAATGCTTTTTTGGCAAAATAATACGACAAAAATAACGATCGGCCGAATAAATCTTATAGTTAAACGATCGAAAATGGTATTTGGTAAAAATACCAACTTCGGTGTTCTTAAAGATACATGGTGACATGGGGACCCGTCCTGTTGAAATTTAGACCCTTTTGTCGCATTTCCGGGCACAAAATGCGCACCAGCATCCACCAATATCGCTTGCTGTCGACTGTTTCGCTTTGTCGCTCTCTCGTACTGTAATGGTTTCTCATGACGTGAAATTTTCAGTGCCTCTGATGCGATGCGTTCATTTTATTGACATCAAAAACAGCGTGAAATCAAAATCAAAATTGTATCCCAAAAATTTCAGGTGTTGGCTTTTACATGTCGTCGAGCGTTAAGCTATCTATACGAGGGGTGTTCAAAGAGTAAGGTGCCTTTGTATTTTCAAGAAAAACTATTAATTAATTTATCAATATTTATGTTGTCCCCTTCAAAGTAATCCCTCCAGTTACAATACACTTATGCCAACTGTTTTTCCAATCCTCAAAGCACTTCCCATAAGCACTTTTCGGTATAGCATTGAGCTCTTCTAGCGATGCAGGGTTTATCTCTTCAATCGCTGCTAATCTCCGTCCTGTCAAAGGTCTCTTTAGTTTTGGGAACAAGAAAAACTCACATGGGGCCAAATTCGGTGAATATGGTGGCAGGGGCATTGTCGTGTTGTCCAAAAAATTTTTCACAGGCAAAGATGAGTGAGCAGGGGCATTATAGCGATGCAAAAGCCAAGAATTCTTTTGCCACAATTCTGGACGTTTCTTTCGTATTGCTTCTAGCAAACGGCGCATAACTTTCAGATAATACTGTTTATTGACCGTACGACCATATGGTAAGAACTCCTGATGCACCACACCATGGTATTCGAAAAAAAACAGTGATCAAAACTTTGACATTGGATCGAATTTGGCGTGCTTTTTTCGGGCCCTCATCTGGCGTCTTCCATTGGGACGATTGGGCTTTGGTTTCGATATCATACCATATACCAGTGGTCGGCACGGCCCTATCCCGAGCGCTTAGGAAATATCTCTGCCCGAGCTCTGCCACACCCACACAGTATAAATGTGTGAAACGTCATGCTCACAGCCTACTTTCTGCTATTCGTTACTAACACTAATGCGGTAAAATCATATAAATGTATTGGGGTGCCGACCACTGCCATATACCCATGATTCATCACCAGCTATGACCCTTCTGAGTAAATCTCATGCGACGGTTCTTTTGGTCAAAATTCAGCAATTTCGGAACAAACTTCGCTGACACACGACTATTGTCCAAAACTTTTGAAAAAATTTCATGGCAAGAGCCAAGCGATATACCGACATCTTCAGCAATCTCTCTGATAGTGATTCGAAGATTTTTCAAAACAATTTTCTTCACGGCTCGAACGCTTTCATTAGTTGTTGACGTGCTTGGGCGTCCAGAGCAAGGCTCCTCATTGGCATCTTCCCGGCCATCTTGGAAGCGTTTGTACGCCTATTTATACACGAAAAAATGTTCCAATGTTCTTGCCAAGAAAATCATTGGGCTTATTGGGAAGGATAACTTCCACAGAATATCCTTCGTAAAGGGCAACATTGAGGAATCAAAAGTTCAAATGAAGTCTAAAGATAACTACAAAGTATCATCGAAATATCTTACCGAGAATAAAAATAAGGTTTACACGTATCAGATAAAAAGCAGCAGGCCTGCAAAATCGTACTTAAGGGAATAAAGTCCGACCTAACGCCTGCAGTGATAACAAAGACGCTACAAGAGACGGGTTATAGCGCTAAGACAGTCTTCAATATCTTTAATAGAGATAAAAGCCGCAGCCACTCTTTAAAGTTGAGCTCGAATCAGAAAATAAGCCCCTAAAGAAATACGAAGTGCACCCTATATACAGTCTTTAGCCAAGAATATGGCCATACAAGGTCGTACTGTATACTGCACCCGATATGTATGGTTTGTAAAGAGCTCCATGACTCGGCACACTGCCCAGCGGGCAAAGCTGACTGAAACTCGAAAAAGCGCGGCAACTAAGTTGGCAATTACAGTGTTAACTATAGATATAGATTAACTTTCCCAGTTTATAAGGAGCTGAAAAGTCTCATCCACCAGAGAGGATGTCCGCACCCAGTTTTTCACTAGGAGGCCACCTTTTAACAGCAAGAGACCGCAATGCCAAGCACACACTCTGCAATCATCAAAGCCAAGAACATGCTCGACTATGTTTCTTCGGGCACACCTACATACTGGCCGGCAGACACAAAGAACCTACCTGATATAACAAACTTTGCAATTAGCAAAAATATTCTTAAAAACCTGATAGTCGAATCGATTCGATTCGATAGTCGATTTCGAATCTTTTATCTCATCACTCACCTGTCTCGTTTTGTTCAGTTCCGACCAGTGTTGCCATTTTAGCTTTTATTGCTAGATCTAGCTAATTTGAAACTGCGAAAGCTATAAGATTTTGTGAAATGCTATTAGCTAGAAATCTAGCATTCTTTTTGGTTACTTTTGGCACTTTTAAAATAGTACCGATAGATATAGGTAAATAGGAACCGATACCGGAGCAGTCAATACAGTCTTCCTTGGTCGAACGCAGAGGTAGAACTCGTAATTATCCAAGTGCAGATAGTCAAAAATAAAATGAGAAATAGAATGCATTAGAAAACTTTAAATGCTATTTTAGCCATAAGGTAGGCTACATTAATAACTAAAATTCTTAGAAAATGAATGTTCATTTACATATATGGACTCAAAAGAATGTGTTGTTTTAACTACACATTACCAACAAAATATTTAAAAATTGTATCAGAATCTAATAAATATAAATATTTGGTCGAGGACGCCATTGATATTGATAAAAATTCTGCATTATTTTAATAAAAACAATTTAAAAATAACACAAAAATTGCTATAACTTAGCAATTTTTTTTTTGCATTTTTTGTTTTAGCTATTTCTAGCATATTTTTATACCCTTGCAGAGTGTATTATAATTTTGTCCAAAAGTGTGCAACGCAGTGAAGGAGACATGTCCGACCCTATAAAGTATATATATTCTTGATCAGGATCACCTCCTGAGTTGATATGAGCATGTCCGTCTGTCCGTCTGTCTGTCTGTCCGTTTCTACGCGAACTAGTCTCTCAGTTTTTAACTATCGTCTTGAAACTTTGCACACACCCTTCTTTCCTTTGCACGCAGTATATAAGTCGGAACGGCTGGGATCGACCGACTATATCCTATAGCTGCAATATAACTGAACGATCGGAAATGACCCAACTTTTGTGTTTTTGAAGATAGTAAGCTGGAACTTGGTACAGATTCTATTTTTGGTCAGTTGATCCAACCTACCAAATTTCTTAAGGATCGGCTAACTATATCCGATGTTTGCGATATATATCTGGTTTTAGCTGCAAGGGTATATAAACTTCGGCTTCGCCTGAAGTTAGCTTTCCTTTCTTGTTTTGTATAATTTTAGCTATTTGAGTCCATGAAATTCTGGCAACACTGGTTCCG